GTGGCAGAGAATGTGACTGAAAACGTCCTCACATGATATTTTAGCTTGAGTAATTACTGGAAAGTTGAGTTGAGTTAAGAATCTGACATCGTCTCAGCCATTGTTGTCAGTGAGTCACAGTTTGCAAAAGAGAAAATATCTTAACTTCTCAAATGATTGAAAGTAAAGTGAAAACAGATTTAATTAACAGGTTGTTGTTTTTTTCACCCAGAATATTGTGACTTCATCAACTAAAGAAAAGGTGTGCTATCTTCTGCACTACATCATGTACTTTTTTCTGAAACTATTACCTCCTCTGATCAACCAGTACCCTATTTTTTATTGTCTTACTTTGGAAACATTCAGTAGTCTGGCTTCCCTCCTGGTGACCTTCACTTTCTTTAATAATTACAGTGATTTTGGAGCACGAACTGACTTTTCTGCCCCGCAGACACTATTAAAACACATTTCTCAGCTCTGTGCTAACCAAACAGTACATAGATGCATGCATCAATTAGCCTTAGAAATGGCCCTGAAATAAAAAAACAACCCAAATGTTTTTAACCACAGGGCAGGTATGCATGTGTTATTGGTAGCATGACTCCAGGCCACAGAAGTCATTGAGATAATTAGTGTGGGAGTTATGATCCAAATGAAGCCACCACCTGGTAACTGCAGGATCCCTTACAATAATGAAAGCACTTTTTTTGACACATTTTAAAGGAGTCACTGTGTGATTTTTATTTTGTCCCTTAAAAATAGAACATGACACTAAATGGAGAATAACCTAGAAGGCAGTGATGCCAATGACATCTGTAACAGCATCATATTTTAAAAGTCCAGTGTGTAACATTTGGAGAATGTATTGGCAGAAATGGAATATAATAGGTATGTTTTTTATTAGTGTATAATACAATCAGAACCAGAATCATGTTTATTGCCAAGTAAGTCTTAATATACGAGGAATTTGCTTTGATACCTATGGGTATACTTTCATTACTGTATAATCAATCACCTGAAAATAAGAATCACTGTGTTTGTTACCATAGAATGAGTTTTTTTTATCGACAATGGAGCAGGTCATGGAAACTGCCATGTTAAACCGCTATGTTTCTAGCCCAGAATGGACAAACAGTAGTGACTTTTGCCACCACTGTAGTTGCTCCTACAGGCTTGGAAGGTGTATTTAGTTGGTTGCAATCTGCAACTAGATGCCACTGAATACACATCTACCCTTTAAAGTATTGGCTGTAATTTATCAGCAACAGCATCTGTCAAAATTAGTAAAAGTACATAATTATCATCAGAAAACAGTACTCCTTTTGCATAAAACAATTACCCCTGTGACTGCATTATAATTATTATAATTAATTTTTAATCCTGATACAACAATGTGTAAGCAGTTTTTCTGTCGAGGCTGACTTACTTTAGTGTAGGTAGTATTTAGTTGAGTGGTCCCCAACCTAGAGGTCGGGCCCCCTCTAATGGGGTCACAAGATAAGAATCCTGGGAGCCATGAACGGATTAATGGGGTAGGAAAAAAGAAAAAAGAAAGTTCTTGCTACACAAATTTGTATTCATCTTTTGTACTTCTCTAATCTTTGCTTATTGGATAAGTTTACCCCTTCGGCTGCAAATAATTATTTAAATGAAATGATCTGACAGGTTTATAGGGGTGGAACTGCTAACAACTCAGATGTCTTAAACATTTAATAGAGTGTAACAGTAAATAGTATAAAGTAGTATAAATCAGAAATACTCAAACAAACACATACATACAAGTGCCTCAAATTTGTTTTTAAGTGTAGTACTTAGTACGTAGTGATTAGCCACTTTAAAGACAAACAAAACGTGCTTTTTGCAATAAAACCATCTAAGGTAACCACACGATCCTGCAGAGATAAAAGAGTTGTTCATCTCTACGTGCATTCACATACTTGCATGTATTGACACAAAATGTATTCTGTTGTGTTTGCAGGAATAATGATGCTTTTACTACAAGTCATTTTTCTTCAATCATTTAATCTAACAATAAAGGAGGGCTATAATAACAGTATAACAACAATTGGCTGTTGAGTAGCACATTTTCACAGAAAGAGCTGTCAAATCCACACAATCCTTTGCATTGCATATTTGCTTCTTCTGTTGCTTCTTCTGTTTAATCCAACTCTCAATACTGTATGTTTTGTAGTTGCACTAAAATGCTCATAGCTCCTTGTATTTCTTTCTCTTCTTTGATTCTTTCTATTTTAACACTCTACTGAATTAGAAGAATATCTGATTTTGCTCTGATGAGGAACAGATGTTCTACAACAGGAAGCTATTGGCTTTCTGGCTTAATTAAGTGTATTTGTTTATATTATATATGTTGTTCTAAGCTGATGGTGTTTATTTTGTGTATAAACCATGGAAAGAACACTAAATTATTATAATGAATTAAATTGAACTGAACTGAAATAAAATACCCTCTGTTGACAGTAATGATCAGATCGTGTGACAAAAACCTACATTATGTAAAAAGGAGATATATTAATTGATATTAATATCACAGTCTAGACATCACTCATGGAAATGTTAGATTAAGGAAATAATCAAATATTGTCTGCATTAATGAGCATATGACCACAGTTTTTCACAGAATTTCTATATTTATTTCCTCTGTGTGTTTCAATTTGGTGCATTCAAATTGCTTTACCAAACATGAAAAAAGTACATTTCTCTACACTGCAAGGGAAGAATTCATCTACATTACATTCATTCTACTAAAAACATGCCTTTTACAACAAATTGGCCATTCACCTTGGAAATCATTCAAACATGTGTCTCCAGTTGGTCTCCATGGTGCTCTCTCACCTTGAAAGACGCGATGACGAGATGTCCACAGTCACGCTAAAGTGTTCACACTTTGCAGATGTATTGACAAAGAGTAACTAATAAAAAAAATATCTAAATATAAGCTGTATTGCTTGCTTGCTTAGTTATATTAAGCTGCCAAACAGGGTTGGAACAGATTGAGAAAACATCTCGACTGATATTAAAAGACGGATAAGCAAGCACAAACACAACACTGAAGTGGATCATCTATTCTAGTCAACACTATTATGTAGCTATCTTGATTATTCCAGGGCTATAGTAACTTTACACCACAACAACAGTTTATGCTGGGCAGCTCAACAGGACTGACTGATTCTCCAAATACAATAGTATTACAAGAGCTTCTCAAACTCAGACTCACTAAGCTCACTAATATGCAAAGTTGTCCTCTCGTCCTCTGCATTGAGTGGCCACGAGCTTCACCTACTCACATCAAAGCAATCTCATTGTCTGCCTTTCTTTTATCCACCGTTATTTCATGCAAGGCCGGTCAAAGAAATGTATTCAAACAGGCCAGGACTTTGAAGTTTCCCCGAAAACCTGAGTGCCCGGTTGGTTCAGTCGTCACTTTTGTCATTTCTGCAAGTATGGAGGCACATAACAGAGACCCTTTACTCAGAATGCTGAAGCTTTTTTTGATTTACTAAAAAGGGCCACATAAAGTTTTGTGATGTATGTAAGTAAGTATACAAACACATATCCCACTTTTCTGCTTTGTGTCCAACAAATCTGAGGGTGACACCCCCTCATTTTTTTAAAGAAATAGTCCAGAATCAATCCCTATACTACAGCCTTAATAACGAGTAGGATATACGCAAATGTTTTTGGTTGTCATGGCATCTTGAGTCTCCTAATCCCCGTGACTTTCTCTAGCTTACACGTTCATGTAAACAAGAAAGTCATGCATTTCGACTTACAGTGTTCATGAAGTGGAACATACATGTTACATACATCAGTTGAGGCAGTCGCCTTTCTGGCAGCATGTTTATATTATCCGTAATTTAATAAAAGATTCAACTTGGCTCTGTGAATGAGTGCAAGGACAGATTTTGCTGCACTGTGAAGCAAAGAGACTAAATCTCAATACATAATCTTTAATAAAACTCATGAAACCAGTTTGTTTGAACAGCTCCGCAGTTATGTAATTCCTGACATTTGATTTGAACGTGCAGGTTGTTTTTCTTCATCTGCTATGGGGGAGGAGGAGAGAGAGAGGGAGCATTGAAGAATAGCAAGTGCCCTTGCAGATGTTGTGAACTTATTTTGACACGGACTTATCTTTGAAACAAAACCAGGCTGTCTCCTGCAATTTCATGTAGACTTTGCTGTCCGCCTTGTTGTATATATGTTTGTAAATTTGCAACCCCGTCTACTAAAAAGTACAGTAGCCTTATATACTAATTTGCATAAGCAAATACATTTTCCAGCAAACATAATACTGACAGATACTGGTATCAACTAATTCCCTGCTATTTTTTACTTATACAGTTAAAATTCATCCATCACAAATTTGCCTCAAATGGCTTTACAGTGTATAAGAAAAAACCCTTTAACAGGAAAAGAAAGAAAGTAGTGTCTTCAAACTGTTTACTGCCTATGCAGAATGCTCACACTTTTACAGTCAACACATTTCATTTGTATCCCATAATGTCTGTTCTGGGCAAATAAAGCATGATTACATAGTTATCCTTTTTCAACTTTTGAAAAAAGCATATCTTACTTGAAGTCTTTTATTAGCCTAAACCTAAAAGGACCTGGGTCTCAAATGTGCTTTGTACACCCAACCATTCACCCCAACTTCATCCCTATGACTTCTTCTTTTGTGCTACCAGCAAAGGGAAATATTAAATGACTATGACTTCTATGCAGTATAAGAATGTCAAACTTTCAGGCTTAGGAAAATACAATGTAGGCAGGCAGAAAAAACTTTTTAATTAGTCGTATATTAATTTCGAAATAGTTGTGTAGTAATGTAATGGTTGTGATGTTCATATTTGCTGAGTCATTAAAATAAGATGTGCTCCCTCCCTGCTTTCATCTG